CCCCCCGGCGAGGGGCGATTCAGCGGCCGCCCCGAGCGAGCGGCGAGCCAGCTCGTAACACATACATTTTACATGCTCACGAAGGTATGCACTCTCCGTGAGTGCCCTCTGTCTAGTTTCAACACTGCGATGGTCTTTACCGCTGCCACCATGTAAAGTATCGGATGTCCAGACATAATTGGGTACACAACAGTTATTCGTGCTTAGCATAAACATGGCCGAGCCCAGAGAGGACTGCTTTCAGTAACAGTCTACATACGCGGGTATACGCGTAGTGATGAGGCTACAACGTAGTTCTGCATAATATTACACTTTCGACAGTTTGTCAAATTATCGCCTTCATTGGCATAAATGAAGCTAGAAAGGTGCGTTTGTTGTTTCTGAGCATACATAATGTAGACCAATGCTTTTGCGCTCACTAGGAGCTAGAAATTGCTACATGATCGAAGTATTAAAATGTGTAACTGCACGGACCCTACATCGGGAGCTTCGATCAAGCGCTCCCCCCATAACATATGCTTCACTGGTGGTTTTTGGACCTTTCCCACAGACCCATGTCTGGATCTGCCAATGTGTGCTAACCATGATGATTTAAGTTATGCATTTGAATTTCATTTTGCATGTTTCACACTGGGAGCTCAAAAGTGAACATAATTTTATGCCTATATCTGAACAATCTTCTGTTTTGGGAAAACGCATGCTTAAACTAACCGAAACTAATTATGACATAAAAGATATTGCAATTCTTCTTCTTCCATTTTGATAAATAAGAAATAATCTCACTCTGTTGCTTGCGACCAAAAACCGGATTAACGGAAATTTATGGGAGCACAGATAGCGCCACCAACAATAGACATATTGCACAAAGGCTGCATGTCACCTCTCAGTATTATAATTATAATATAACAATCAATTATCAATCAATCAATAGTAACTCAATAATAAGCGAGACAATATTTCTAGGGAATATATGTAATCACAAAATCTTTTTATGATATAAATCTACAAACAGTAATATTCCCCCTAAAAATCGTTTAGTTGTTGGTGAAAACATGTCAAACGTTTATAAATTTAATTGATGGATGCTAAGGACAAGAAAGCATCGTGGTAAACTAATAGTCCAACTTTCATAAAAGTGACATAAAATTGGAATTTGGTATTAGACCTTTAAATTGCTCCTTTGCTTGTTTATCGCAAAGACAGGTGCGGAACGAAAGTTTGAGAAAATATAGACCCACACTGCCTCGTTTTATTATTACCTAACTTTATCGTTGAGATAAGGTGGAAAAAAATTCTTGCACTAAATAAGCATTCGTGTGCTTTTAGTAAAAATGACACCACCCTCGTCTGTCGTATCATTGCAACCGTGAGCAACCAGAAGCCACACCTGTTTGGAACTAAACCATTCGCGTAGTAATATTTACCTCACTGCGCATTATGCTGGCAGTCGGTAGTTGCGCGGTAGTTGCAAATGGGCAACGAAGCAAATCCAAACAGCTACCTGTCACGCCCAGTGTGTTGGCAGTGCTTGCAACGCCCGTAGATGTCACCAACGTCAAGTAAAAGCCGGCTGTGAGTATATTTAAACGTTGATTATTGTAGTTTAATTATAACACGGTAGTGAAAATGCTAGAATTACGATATCTCACTTTCAGATTACATATTCCACAAATGATCGTCAATGTACACTGCCTCCCTGATGCCCAAACCAGGGAGGACAGCCCAACCAGGCTGTGTGACTAACGTCCCCTCACCCTAGGCTAGCAAAGACCTAAACCGACCAGGCTCTCCGACTGTTACACGGCGTAGGAGGCCTCTCGCCAACGTAGTGTTAAGCGAGAAGGGAACTTGTGGCTAGCAAAGACCGTTTCTTGGAGCTACCCTGTATCATGTATGTGTATCATCACATCACTCGGCCTACGTACATCTTGACATGTGCATGTAGCCTGCTGGTGTTTATGTCATTACGCGTCATACGCGTATTTCCGGATGGTTGGCACAGGTAAATCTCTGTGTACATACAAGTATACGGCCAAAATTTTAACCAGCTGAATGAGACTGCTATCGTGCTAGTATGGACCCCCGACTCCATCCCCGACTTGATCATGTTGGTTCAATGGTTGGTTTTACTCTTGATCAGGTTTTGATCAGGATCAGGTTTTGATCAGGATCTTATCTTTGTTCGATCTTGAATCTTTATATACGCCGGAAACTTTATAAACTATGTTACGTATAGGACACGCGTGCTGGTAATAATTAACAACCTTCATTATAATAACTGTGCGGGTCATGCGCAGCGTGTAAACTTACATGCAACAACAAAATTGTCAACTTTATGGAAAGCTGTGAGCATGACCTGTCATCTAGGACAATCAGGTACCTTGCAAATAACAATCGAGTCATAAAAATGAAATTATAATATTAAAAAGGCAGTGCTGGTTTGTCCATAGATGTGTTCATTACCATCTTTACTAGTTAATTAATTCATTGTTATCAAACAAACTCTTATTCGACATATCACTTGATCGTGTACGGCAAGTCACACAGCAAAACCTGTTTTAGAACATGTTGCAGACCAAGCTGGAAATTTCCTATGTGCAGCACATGCTTATATTGTATAAAATCCACTCATCTTTTATAATCGATAAATGTATGCATAATTGTTTCTCTTTATACTATGTAAGCATTGAATATATAACAGAGCCACATGTAGTTTGTTCTTAGTTTGTGTCCCTAGTACTAAAACTTGGTATCGTCTAACTCCTGGTGATTCATACTGGTAAAATGCCAGTGAATTGTTTCAAATAAGAAGTCTTCACAAAGTAAACATCCCATTCACTGAGAAAATTATATACAATGCACCTACTGTCTGCACTTGCCTTCCGTAGGCGTGTGCACTGTAACTGTGTACAGTAGCCACACTGTTTCGCGGTAGCAATAGCGCCATAGAAATTATATACTAGGTAGACTAGTGTCTCCATATATTTCTAGTGATGGGAATCGGTAGGAATTTCATCATCGATCATCGGTTACACACAACCGATCGATGATCGAAGATAATCGGTTGAATGTTATTGGTATATATATATATACCATATATATAATACAGTATTTTTTATAACACAATATTCTAAAAGCTATGTAATAACACGATTATACTTGCTTATGTTTGGTGTAGGTTAGATTTAAGCTGTAAAGTAACCAATAACACACACAAATGAAATAAAGGGCCATTTCATCAATGTTTGCACATTTTATATAAAAAAATTATATATTTTTTATTGATAATCGGTTATTTATTTTCATAATCGAGTGCTTAGTCGATTTGCTGCAAACGACTGACTTTCGATTATAATCGATCATCGGGACATCACTATTATTATGTATATATATATAATGATATTTCTATACGAATCGCGCACGAGTTTCTTCGCGGCCGTACGAGTAAACCGCCGCCGACGCCTTTGCAGGAGATGAGTGCTTCCAACTTGGGAACGTACTCGATCGCGAGCCAGCATGCGACGATGCTGGTTCGCACGAAGGAGGGCCACGCGGCGATGGGCCTTCAGCTCGCCGGCGACGACCACGTGTGGATCCAGATCCAGAAGAAGACGTTCACGAACTGGGTGAACGAGCAGCTGCGCGCCGCCGGCCGACACATCGTCGACCTCGAGACGGGATTCGCCGACGGGCTGAACCTCGTCGCGCTCGCCGAAGTGCTGCAGCAGAAGGACCTGTCGCGCGGCGTCGCGAAGCGGCCGACCAACGACCACCACCGGCTGGGGAACATCGGCGTCGCACTGAAGGCGCTCACCGACGATGGGGTGAAGCTCGTCAACATCGGTAAGCTTCCCTCGGCGCGGAGGCAGGGGAAAAAATTTTTTCATGGGAGCTCTTATTGAAAAGTCTGTGGGAAAAATAGCTCTTGTCAAACATTTTACGGGAGCTATTTTGAGCCTCACGAGAGCGATTTCGGCGGTTTGAAGAGCGAATTGCTCATCGTTCCCTTGTGTATTTTTTACCCTGCCCGGTGTGGAGGGTTTCTCGAGGTCGGCATGACGACGGGGATGGGGATCGATGAGATGGATGACGTGGGGACGGGGTTCGTGATGGGCGGAGATGAGAGGGTAGTGCGAGGCAGCAGCAGAGGAGAGAAGGAAGGGGGGTGTGGTGGGGAATAGGTTGGAAAAGATGTAAAGTGGTGGAGGGCAGTAGGGCGAGAGAGAGAGAGAGAGAGAGCAGAGAGAGAGGAGAGAGAAGGAGAGAGAGAGAGGAGAGAGAGAGAGAGAGAGGAGAGAGAGAGAGAGAGAGAGCGAGAGAGAGAGAGAAGAGAGAGAGAGAGAGAGAGAGAGAGAAGAGAGAAGACGAGTAGAGAGAGAGAGACAAAGCGAGAGAAGAGACGAGAGAGAGAGACAAGCGCTCGTAGCGGAGAGAGAGAGAGAGAGAAAGAGAGAGAGAGAGAGAGAGAGAGAGAGAGAGAGAGAGAGAGAGAGAGAGAGAGAGAGAGAGAGAGAGAGAGAGAGAGCAAAATGGTAAGAAGTTAGAGGAGCAAAGGGAGGAAACTGAAGAGGTAGCAATGGAGACAGAATGAAGTTAGAGGAGCAAAGGGAGGAAACTGAAGAGGTAGCAATGGAGACAGAATGAAGTTATGAGAGAACACGTACAGGAAAGTGAAAAAGAGAGAAAGCACAGGGAGGATGGGTTAGAAGAGGAGAAAGAGGGAAGGGGGCTTAGACGATAAGGATACAGTGCATGTGAATGAAGAGATAAGGAAGGGGTCATACAAGGGGAAGAGGACAAAGAGGAGAGGTGTGAGGAGAAGGAGGAGCAGGGGAACGACATGGAAGAGGAGAAGCTGGGGAAGGCAAAGAAAAGGGGCTGGTTATGAGAAGAAACGCGGGGAGGGTGAGTAAAAGCTATACCCTAATCCTACTCCTACGGTTTCTTTCTTCATCAGCCTTTCCCAGCATGTTCTACTATAGGGATGTGTTTTAGTAATATGTAAAGCTCCTACGCTGCTAAGACATGCATGATGCATCCTTTTTCTAGCATTTTGTTCGGTTACCAAACATTCTATTTCTACCTAGATGTGCTAAACGTGTATGAGCTAATATCATGTGTATTATGATATTATAGACGTATATTATCAGAAGTGAATATTAATAGTAATAATAGTAATAGTAATAATAATAATAGTAATAATAATAATAATCTAATTATTCACTCCTGATATTATCAGGAGTAAGATAATATAGGATCCTATATTGTCTTACTCCTGATATTATCATGAGCATGTAAGTTGTAACACCACCAGTAGCCTTTATTAGATGTGATCGACACATGATTACATCAGGAGTGAATAATAAAAAATATATATTATTATTCGCTCCTGATTGCATGCAATCTCAGCGTCACAACTGGAGCAAACCATATAAGTAAATCAGCAGTGTGACCACATGCGTGTGTAACAATATGCACATTTCCATTTTGGTACAGTTATAGCTGTCAGCGTAACTAACAATCCCTTCCAAACAGCACATGCCAGTGTATTTCAGGGTTATCTATCATGTGCATTTCAGACATTTTTACAGCTCTATCCTAGATGCAATAAGCTACTGTCAGAAGTGCGCAGCATAGACACCTGCCTACTGACCTAGTCTCGTTTATCGTAGTAGAGTAACTGATTTCAATCTGGCTGGTCAGATTTTCCTTTCCCCGTCCCAGTTGACTCTCTTTACTGGAGAGTGCCCATTTGCGATGATCACAGTTGGGTGCATTGACCACTGGTCTTTTGTAGGGGAGAATAATCAGTGATCTACGCTTGCTTTGTCCTCATCCAAATGAGATGACCACGTTGTAAATGCAGTGCAGTGTGACCCTTCAGTGGGGTGGGTGTGTTCCCCCAACCCTGCAGCAGTCAGTAAACCTGCATGCGTTGGCCATGACACAAGGGCCGGTGACTGGATGAATCAGTGCTCTATCTGAGTTCTAGCCTACATTAGCAACACTGGCAGAGTTTCATACGTTGAAACATTCATATATAATTATATATACCATATCATAAAAGTATTTGCTTTAATACATGAAAATTTGTACTTGCTATATAATATGAAAAAGGTGATTTCCTAATAAAAATTCCATAGACTAATAATTATGTGTGACCTTGAAAAGCAAGTTAATTTACAGCCTTTTCGTGACAGTAATTGTTTTTATCAAAATAAGGACAATGAGACAGCACAATGTTATCTGTACTATATCAAAGTACAGCACTATTATTATTAGTGTACATGTCACCTGGCAGGTGTTTTTATCAAAAATGAGGACAGTGAGACAGGACAATGTTATCTGTACTATATCAAAGTACACTACTATTAGCATTAGTGTACACGTCACCTGGCATTCTCTTGGCTTACTGCCATTCTGTTTTTGACGCATAATACTACGGTGGCGTTTTCCAAGAGAATGTTTGCATGTACTCTTATTCTTATAAATAGATGGATTTACATGAGGTCTTGCTTAAAGTGTGAAAAAGTCCTTGGGCTAGGTAAATCTACTTGCTGCGTTTGTCATTGTCAGCTGTTTGCTTGGATATAACTATAAGTACTGTAACTGTTGGCACGCCCAGCAATCAACACAGAAGTAGTTGCTCCTTTTTCTGATCTGGTAGTATACTGTCACACCCGGGTTCTTTTCCCTTTTATTGAGTGGCAAGGTTACGTTCTGTTAAATGTGGTCCACGCCCTGAGCCTGCTTGCTAAGTTTAACGTCAGTTTGCCATATATGGCCTAAAATCTGCCCCGTATCCTTCGAAGTGTTTTACATCCTAGGTGATGTTGATTTATGCTGTGGCCATCTTCGGCAGTTAGCCGCTATAACCGTTACCATCTTCCACAAGTTTGCAGCTGCTTAGCTCTGCAAACATACGGAATGTCAGGGAATGAACGAGAAGAGAGGCGGACCCGTGCAACTGTAACAACATGGCCCTTGCAGAGAAGATCAGTATATATATATATATATCTATCCACAAATGGTGTGCTGCAAGCTAGCACACTGGAGATATTCTGTAGACCAGATACGGGCTTCTAAAATCAGTTCTAATCTTGGATATATTTCTCACCTTGGCAGCCTCCTTCGTGACTCGTGATATTTAGTAGTAACGATTTGTGCCTACAATGACATTTTACACAACTGCCCTCAATTGATCGGCCGGTCCGTCCGTCGATTAGTCAATTCGTCAGCCAATTAATCAGTATATGGTTCACTCATTATTTATATTATTTATATTACTACGTATATTTTGCTAACAATTTTTTATTGTGTATATAGTGTATAATTAAATTATTTTTTTTAATGCATCGACAAGAAAGAACCCACAATTCGGGCAAAGTTATTAAACATTTTCCTGTCGGTATACATGAATGATTCCACCACTACACGCGCAGCTAGGTGATGGTATTCTTTTCCACGCAGTACACGTATTTACTGCTGTATTCAGATAATCGGTGTCTGTAGAAGGGTAGCTTCATTACGGGCGGCAAGTGTGACTTGAATAGCTGCCAAGAAAAACACGTTGCTACACACTTGTAAAGGTGTAGGGCCGCTCCCTCCTGTTCGCCCCTGCTGTTGCTGCTGCTGCTGCTGGTGGTAGTGGTGGTGCTGCTGCTGCTCTAAAGTTGCTGCTGCTGCTGCTGCTGCTGTGGATGCTTTTGTTGCTGCTGTTGCTGTTGCTGCTGCTGCTGCAGATGCGGCGACTGCTGCTAAATCTGCTGCTGCTGTGGACGCTTTTGTTGCTGCTGCTGCTGATGATGAAGATGCTACTGCTGTTGCTAATGCTGCTGCTGCTGCTGATGATGAAGATGCTACTGCTGTTGCCAATGCTGCTGCTGATGATGATGCTACTGCTGTTGCCAATGCTGCTGCTGCTGAGCTGTAGCTGCTGTGCGACCGTGTGGAGAAATTGTGCCGCACCCACTAAGTGACTTATAGAGCCAGAGGCAGAGGAGTTTGCCCGGGCCTGGTATATTCGCTAGTGAAATAAGTAAAAGCTTATTTTACCTAAAGTGAAATTACTACACGCATATAATAGCCGCGTAAGCTCTGTACTCACGTACGAGCATTCACATTCTTCCGCATCACACCTTCTGAGTCACCAGAAGAAGAATCTCGGAAATAACCAATCAGTTGCTATTCTGTGCAAACACTGTTGTAACACAGGAATGGCTCTGGTTCGTCTTTATGCATGCTTTGTAGACAAACATTAGGAGCACCCGCGTCCACTACACGTAACGGTACTAATGCGTGATGTACATGTACATACGAACGCGTGCATAATTTAACCTGCACGCACGCACGCACGCGCGCTCATGGTTGCAGCACGCGCGCGTGTCCAAGCACGTACGCGCAAGTAATTATGTGCACGCACACACGCACGCACGCACACAACGCATGTGCGCACTTCTACGCATCTAAACACAAACGCATGTGCTACTAATAAGGAATAAGTCAACTAATTACTAATCAGTCTAATAACGAACTATTATGCAATTTATATACATACATAGCCACCATGACAATTATCCCACTGGATCCAGCTAGCTACGCTAGTGTAGGCCTACTATCAAACTAGGTGTACCTGGCTGTGAGCCTGTGAGGTAATAGTTGAACTAACCCTTTACCCACTCGTGCCGGTCTAGGACTTTACTGTATCACCAGTCGTTCAAGGTTGGAAGGCACATGCAACGTTAGGCGAGACTGCCATGCATTGATGGTTACATCTGGGGCAAAGCATTCGGCTTGTACGTGTTTCGTGTTAGAAAAATATCCACAGCATTGTAACAGCAAAG